ACAATACATTTCTAGCCAAAAGAAAGACTTCACAGTCACGTTATTTAAGTTGCTAACACCTCACCTTATGTACCCTGTGTTTAGAGGCTACTAGTGCAATTCAGCCTCTGGTGGCTGAAATGAGGATTACAACAACAAACGCACAAACAAAACTGATCTTAACAACAAAAACAAAAAATGGTTTCATAGAGGATATGTAATAAAGTAAGTTATGAAAATTATTCTGGAAACCAACATTTTTCACCTGGAAAAAACTTTCTTCCCACACCTGTTTCAAATGTCCATGTTCAAAAAATGTTTCATACAAACAGGAGAGAAAACAGTTGAAACTTACTTACTCACCTCTCAGGGCTTTCGTACATTACTCAAACAGTCTAAGCTCATGAAAATATGTCTTAATCTTACTCACTTATCATGTCACCCAGGAGGGTCTGAGCGTGCTCAAAGGCAGCTGTTCAGGGCTCTGAGGTACCACACCCTGCAGGACCCGCAGCTCCACAACACCCTGAAAGACCTGCTGGCCTCGGTCAGGGCGCCTGGGAAAGGCCTGAGCACTGCGGCACGTATCTACCTGGCACGAAGTGAGTTCACGTGGGGGATGGTTGGGCAGTTGGAAGCGTCATAATTCAACATTTTGTCTTGATTGTAATGTTGATCTGTAAATGTCAGGACTAGAAGCCGACTGATTCTGTTCTCAGGACTTCGTCTCAAGCAGGACTTCTTCGCACTGGTGGAGCAGCAGTATGGACTTCGTCCCAAGGTTCTGCAGGGAGGAAGCAAAGACCTGAAGGAGGTAAACGACTGGGTGGCTCAGGAGACAGGAGGGAAGGTGCAGAGGTTACTGGCCACGGCCTTCCCACGAAATGCAGGAGGCTCTGGAGTGAACACCGTGAGCGCCGCCTACTTTAAAGGTAGGTCACATTTCAAATGCTCGCTAGCTGGTGTCTTGATTTAATTCAGTTTGATGCTTCTTGGACTTTTCTCCCACAATTCCTCAGTTTTAATACAGGTTCAGTATCAAGCTGAGGATGCACGATCATCAGTAATAACAGTTTTTTGTTCGTAAACAGGAAAGTGGGTGACTCGGTTCGGGCAGAGCGGAGTGATGGAGAACTTCCAAGTGGAGGGCGGGGCACCAGTCCGCATTTCCATGATGCAACAGGATAACTACCCTGTGAAGATGGGTGCCGACTCAGATTTGAGCTGCACGGTAAGTGTTTTCTACTCTGAATGTCATCAGTACGTAACCTTTAAACTACAACATCAGTAGCTTGTTTGCTTAGACAATGTTATGAAAAAGAGCCATTTTTCAATTGATTTGAAAGACTTCGGACGGGGAACTGAAGTTGTTTTATGGGTCTCTTCAAAGCCACCAGACTCCATAGATAAACAGCAATTTTACCTTGCAGTCTCCAACGGTTGGTTTGTTTGAGTCCTTGTATGCAAAGTCACAGAGCAGAGGTCCATATAACAGCTTCAGTTCCAAGTCGGAAAGGGCTGTGGTGAAAATACTCTACTACTCATACTTGAACTCTATAAAAGCTCTTCCTGGTTTCTCAGTTTGATCGATTTGAGCAACTGTAAACAACACAAAATAGGCATTAAGAGAGTTTGAACACCACAGAAATGCAGTGAAGTGACGTCCTGTGCAAACAAGTTACTGGTTTAAACTTCATTACCCAGAATGAACCAGCTTTTGAAGCTTGAGTCGTGTACTTCAACCCACTTTCTGAGCTCCTTCCTGAACGTTTTCCTGTCCTCCAGATCGCTCAGATCCAGATGCAGGAAGATGTCAGCATGTTCATCTTCCTGCCCGATGACGTGACCTCCAACATGACGCTGCTGGAGGAGAGTCTGACCGCCGAGTTCGTTCAGGACCTCTCCATGACGCTCCTTCCCGCCAAAGTGTCCCTCACTCTGCCCTCCCTGAGGCTCAGCTACTCCACAGACCTGCTGCCGCTGCTCAGCGACCTGGGTGAGTCCAAGATTTTCAACAATACATATGACATTACACATTATGGTACAATAACTCTATTGTTCAAAGACCTGGGAAATGAAATGAAATTTCATAGAAATATATAGAAAATATTCTATAATATCTGATAGAAATTATT